GTTACTCATCAACTCAAGTTACAACTGTAGTTATCCAAGGTTTACTTTGGTAACAACCCAAGTTTAATTATGTATTATGTAGAAATTAAAATGGTACTTTCCAATGCATGACTTTTTCTTACATAGTTATTGCTCATGGCTGCACCCATTTATAAAGAGTTTATTAAATGTTACCGTATACTTTCCTTGTAAGACCTCCCGGCAGGCGCTGTGTTCCTCTAGCGTCATGCTACGTCTTCTTAAATGCTGGGTACATTCTTGCAGATGTTTGTACAATTTACTCGGTATGGAAGCTGACACTGTACTGTAAAAGGAAGCCTTCTCTGTTTCCATGGTATTACCAGAGTTAGATGGTAATAGTGGAGATTTGTTTACGTTTTTTTTAGCTGTAGTTTCTCTATATTTACCTGCTTATTACCTGTCGCAAGTATCCATCCATCCATCTTCTGTAACCACTTGTCCTTTTCAGGATCGCGGGGGTCCGAAGCCTAACCCAGAGGCTATGGGCAAGGCAGGGTACAGCCCAGGATGGGGCGCCAACCCATCGCAGGGCACAGTCACACACACCATTCCTGTGGTAATTAACCAATAATATGCTATTATATAGGGGGCCTGTACAAGGAAGGATACCGACTTTGGTGCATGCGGCATCTAAACACTTTGGGTTCCTCCCACAGCCCAGAGACGAGCACAGTTTGATGACCTGGCGCCTTCTGGTTGCTCGTGGCGTATAAGCGTCAGCATGTGCGTCCCTGTTGCCCTGCTTGTGCCCCATGCTGCCTGGCACTGCTGCCAGGCCTCTTTGAGCCCTGGGTTTGAAGATGGACGGTCTCGTCCATACCAATGACCAGCTCTGCGTTGGTGCCCCATTACCCAGGAAGCCGGGGTCTGGCCGTGATGACGTCATGACGGACCAGTGTGGCCTTAGCCTGGTATAATAATGACTTCTGGCGGTTGTCGTGTTCCTGCTCTCGAGACGATCGATTTCCTTCTGCTCGTGGCCGAGTGCCGCCCTGCTAGCCGAGGCCACGGCCGTCGTCACGGACTTAGGGAAACGAAAAACAGGCGGAGCAGGTCACCGGGCTCTCCGACAAGTGCAAATACCAGCGTTGGTAGTGACAGTGACAGAAGGCCGCTGAGGCGAATCAGACACTTTACAGGGCCAGGGTGTGCGTTGGCATGTTGACGTACATCGGAAACTTGCTGTAGCATTAAACGTTGACATTTTTCTGGTGTGTCTCTGGGATTAAGAACCTTATCAAAGTGGATGATGACTGAGATCATGTGATGTGACTGCTGAATTGTGATTGGACAGTGGGTGGGACAGTATGTCTAATTTGGTTTGTGGATTCTCCTGTGGTAGCGTGAGACATTTTTGTCATCCATCATTTGTTTCCAGTAGGTTCCACTGCGTTAGGGGCAGAAAGGGGGTGCAGTTATTGTGTGTGCGGCCTTGTGTGAAAAATGTACTGTCACCAATGTCTTTGCAGTGATGGAGTCCTTTCTGTCACCCACCGCCTTTTGGCTCATGCCCACCCTTTTTGGCGAAGTGTTCAGTAGAGTAGCCATGGAAACACATTTCTGTCGCGCTTTTTAATGACTGTGTGCTTTTTTTTAACGCAGTTCATCTTGACGTGATCTTTTTGTTTTTGACTTCCTTCACATGGCCTTCAGATCTTCTCTGGGAGACACTACATCTCACCTCCCTCTTGACACCCAGACCCATGTCTGTGCCCATGTTATCCTTCCACCACGCAAGGAGCCCCGCCCACTCCACATAGTTCCACCTGATTGGATGCCTCATTCCACAGACCTCCAAACACTGGCTGTCTAGATTCTAGATTCATAGGTTCAGCAATTCTTGGCTTCTGAGTCTTTCTTGTTTAATAATTCTAGATTTTAGATGTTTTAATTGCACAGTGGAAATCATTTATGGATGTGTATACAACTACTGCATAGTGTCTTTAACTGTTCCATATGTGTCCTTGTTCAAATACCCACCACTCTCTGGATTGTATACATTATTCTGTGAGCTCCGATGTCTACAAGCACAAAACCGTGCAGGCGAGCAAAAGCAGGAAGGGCTTTCAGAAACTAGGCAAAGGTGAGCCTATTTTCGGAGTGTCCCTCCTCGCTCTTCTACACCCTCTCTGTTCCGCTTTCTGTCCTCTGTCCCGTCCCAGGAAAGATGGCGTCCAGGGACCAGCTCTAAAAATGCTTTGCACACCAAAACAGTGGCTGCGAAATAACAGGAGATGTTTCTCCAGGAAGATGTTTTGAGGGAGAAGGAGAGCAGAGTCAGTCCACGAGGTCAAGAGCTTGCAGCTTTTGGCTGTGGTTTTGAATCTGAACCAGCCTTGGTCTGGAGGGATTCTGACATTTCGAAATGCAGTTTTTAATCCTAATGCTGCTCGTGTCTAAATAGACACTCCTGGGGAAATCAGACTCGCATGGCTGGAAAACATGGAGAGATGGAGAACGAGTGGGCTTTGGCGGCATACACGCGGCAAGCCTGGCATTTTCCCTACCATGACAGGATATGTGCGCGTATGTCTCTGTGTGTGCGTGGCACTGCGTGCCCGTCTGCGTATGCCTCTGTGTGTGCGTGGCACTGCGTGCCCGTCTGCGTGTGACTCGGTGCGTTTTTTTTCCGTTTTTTTCTTTTTAGCAGTCAGTAATATGGTCATAAGTTGTTAGTCCCATGACTTCCTGTGTGGCCTGGGCACCGAGGGCATTTCTCACTTGCTCCTCTTCCTCCTTCCCTTCTATAAATCGCTCATCTCGCTGTGCCGCCCGGCTCGCTTCTCCTTCTCCCTGCATAAAAGGGCTTCTGACGGGAGGTGAAGGAGACTTGGGCCCATCTAGTCCCTTCGGTTCTATCTGGGTCTCATCCATCGACCGTGAGGTGAGTTGGGGGCCACGGGCAAAGGGCCAGTATCATCAGTACTGTTAATGTCACATCCTTACTGTGTGATGAGCATTAGTGGAATTTGTCGGAACCTTAATGGGGGTGGGGGCTTCATTTTTTTCTGCCTCTTTTTTTTTGGAGTGGCAGAAAGCCCCTCAGCAGTCCAAGGAGCTGTTGTCTGAGACCCTTTTTCCGCTGTTTTTCCGGAGCTTGTCCGTGTGCCAGCGCTGCCCCTCTGTGCCGCCGCTTTTCAGAGCCAGTTGTGTGAGAACCGTTCCCAACAGACCCCGTCACCATGGCGGGAGACGGCGGGAGCCGATTGGCCAGAGGGGCCAAAAGGGGGAGGAGATATTCAGTGTGTGTCTGTGTATGTGTCTGTGTGTTTGTGTGTGTCTGTCTGTCTGTCTGTGTCTGTGTGTGTGCGTGTGTGTGTGTGTGTGTGTGTGTGTGTAGGTGAAGGACATGGGCAGCCCTGTTAGGGAGAAAGCTTCAAACTAAATCAGAAGAACAGATGAAAACTTTTTGCTTTGTTTGGCTTCTGTGAAGATTTAGGGGTTTGGATAGTCAGTTACAGCGGCATGATAAATATAAAGTTATTAAAGCGTGTCTGTGTGTGCGTGTGTGTCTGTGTGTGTGTGTGTGTCTGTGTGGTGTGTCTGTGTGTGTGTGTGTGTCTGTGTGTGCGTGTGTGTCTGTGTGTTCGTGTCTGTGTGTCTGTGTGTGTGTGTGTGTGTCTGTCTGTCTGTGTCTGTGTGTTTTATGTGTGTGTGTGTCTGTGTGTGTGTGTGTCCCTCTGACCGCTATCTATTAAGTTTGCGAGGCCATTTCCTCAGGCAGGGGGGTAGCTGGTGAACTGGTGCCTCTTCCTCCAGGCTCTCCCCCTGCTGGGGGTGTGGCCATGGCGTGGGGGGGGGGGGGGGGGGGTGGCGCGCAGACAGGCTCCTCTGAGCTGCGCACACACTGGCCGGCTCCGCAGACGCTGCCGGCTCCCACTCCTGTCTGCGCTCGATAGGAGCCCCGATGCTCAGGAGGACAAGGAGGCGATCCGACAGGAGGCCCAGCGGCACGGTTCTGCTGCCCCTGCTGACGCTGAGGCGCCGTGAGTCGGACCCTGGCCTTCGAACCAGGGCCCCTGCTTCAAAGAGTGCGTGGCTGTTTGTTACTCTGAGCCTGTGTGTGTGTGTGCGTGTGTGTGTGTGTGTGTGCGCGTGTGTCCTGTCTTTTTGTACAGCCTTTAGAAAGATTCTGGAATGTAGCTACTGTAAAACGTTTAAAGCCTATGCTGCTGTATCTTTTTTTAAAGTTTTGTGAGCTTGGCAAATCGGGGGATGTTTCCAGCGGCTTCGCATGTCTGCATGGAGACACGGTTTCTGAGTTTTTCCGGCAGTCAGCTCATCATCTCTGCCTGTTAGCGAGTCTGGGATCCAGAGTAGATACCCCACACCCCCGTCCCACTGTTTTCCTCTTCAGACGCTGGGAGACCCATTAGTTCAGAATGAAAAATCAAGGGCTGAGATGTTCCCCTTCTGCGTAACGCCTGCCCTTATGAATTCATATTCTGCTGTGTGACATGCGCTCATCGGGATGCTGTATTTACCCGAAACCCCAGGACGTGTCCTTAACCGACGACACGAGAGCTTCGGAGTGGCTTTTTTGTGCTCTTCGGAGAGCTTCTCGACACGCTGACGGGATGCTGGCTCAAAATACAGGATGTCTCTCATCCTGCCTTTTTTACATATACAAAGTCAGCACGTGGTTTCTGTGCAGATAGCACTATTGAGGGTTACTGCATTCAGGTGACGACGTACCCGAGTGCGTCAATGAGGCTGGCTTGCTGAGAGCCGTCTGGAATAGCTTCGGACGGTCCCACCTCTGTGATTTCTATTGCACTGCATCGCGACCTGAATGAACGCAGAAAGCGGCGTTATCACCTGAGCGAGTGACGCAGGTAAATGAGTCAGGGAGGGTAGCAGGGGAGTGGTCAGGTTGGGGGGGGGGGGCTGCACAGGCTCCACCTTTCATCACCTTTTGTTTGGGAGGGAGCCACCTGGATCGGGAGTAGGAAGTGCTGAAAGTCACAGCGTGGAAACTCGCTGCCTGCCGCGTGGCTCCGAATGAGAGCCAGAGGGTAGAGGGCCGCCGAGGAGGAGGACGGGCGTCCTGGGGAGATGGCTGCGGAGGCGGGACCCCAGCTGCTGGATGTGTACCTGCAGCCCATGGAGGATGGAGGAGGCTTTGTCCGCATTTGTCTGGAAGAAGTGAGGAGTTACCACAGGTTCTCCCAGTCCTGCCACTGGCTGCAGAGTGAGTGAGAGTCGACCCCATCTCTGCCCGAGGTGGGCAGGGACCCCGATTTGTTTATAAATACCAGGTTCAGTCAGTAGAGACGTGAGGTCCGAGGCTCACTGACCTTGGATGCTATAATTCGATGTTTCTTTGAGTTTTTTTGGATTTCCACGCATGACATTTTTATGACGGCAAGAATGCTTGAGTCATGGTGTTATTGTGCCATGTCAAGGTTTCATTCTGTGCAAAAGTAGTTAGGCTGAGTGTTTGACCCAAATCAGATGAAAGCAATGTGTGGCACTAAACTTATACAGTGGAACATTGTTTGGTGGTTTTGTGTGGATTTGTTTAACAAGAAAAACACTGTGCATGGAGGTTTAACAAGGAGAATGATCCTATTTGGAGCTTTTGCTGAAGTGAAACAGACGGCGTGATACGAGCGGATGGGTGAAGGGTTCAGCCTGTTGCTGTTTAGCGCGCGGCGAGAGCATCTTGGCAGTATCAGCTTCAAAGTCAATAACACCTGCCTGCAAGTTGTTTATTCCGCCGTTAGAGCTGCTGTATCATTCCACCGCGGAATCGACATGGTAAACACACTGCCTAGGCTCATCTTCACCTGCTTTCTGTGCTGTTTTAGCTATACAATTCTAGACACAGAAATACTCAGGGTTGCACAACTCTAGTCTCTACCAAAGCTCTATGACTTAATCGACTGTAGGTTTTTTTTTTAGGTATTTTAATGGTGCCTGTCTGACCGATATTTTTACAATTTCGCATGTTGTACAGAACTACACAAAAAAGTATTTTAGTCCTACTGCCTTCCGAACGGCAAAAGCCCCTTGGCTGTTAGCGCTTCCCCGCAGGCTAAAGAAGGCTCCTTTGTTAGTAAGCTGTTCTCTCTGGCTCCTTACTATCCTCTGGGATCTGTTCGCCATCTCCCAACCTGGTGCCCCCTTCCCGAACTTCCCCAGTTGTCAGTGGTGATCCATCCACGCTTCCTGTCCAGCCACTGTGCTGAGCGGTTTGCGGCCGTGGTTAAAATTGCCGGGATCATCCCCATTTGACGATTGCCATGGGAATCCCAAGCTGGTGAAATGTGCTCACTTCTGCTCAGGAAGGAGAGCAGCCACGTCGATATCACGCCAAAAGCCTGGGCTACTGAGATGGCAAAACAGCACGTTGTAATTGGTCTCCATGGATTTATGTTCTAATTATGAGGCGTTGTGCTGTCTGCAACAAAGCTGGAAACCTCAGAGTATTTCAAGCTGTTAAAATGCCAAATTTTATCGGAATAGCTTGACCGACTGCTTATTATTGAACAAAATGCAGATAATCAATCCCTGTCCATCTCACGCAAGGGACGGTTTAGGGAACACTTGACTTCTTTGTAAACAATGCTGCTTCAGCTTACATTTTGCTATTTTTAAATGGCAAGCTGAATGAGCGTTTCTGCAGGTCACTTTTGGCTGTTGAGGCTGGGTTTCTGTTCATTTCTGCAGATTTCAGTCCACTGTGACTTCATAACTGAGGCCTAATTGTAAAAATACAGCCAGGCTAATTGCAGATATTAGGGGAAACGACAAACCAATGTTTCATTTTCTAAAAAACAAAAGGGACTTTGATTAGTCATCAGATCCCTCCAAACGGTTCCTCTTTCAGTTTGATCATTAAACTGCCAGTTGTTGCCCGTAATTTCACTCATCCTGCTGTGGGAAAATCCGAAAGTGTTGGATTCTTTTAAGATGTTTATTTGAGATCCCTGTTCAAATGAAGTTTTCAGAGCGGGTGAGGTACAGTTACCTTCTGGGGCAGTAAACATGAAGACCGTCCAGAACTGACCCTGGTGTCTGGATTTCTAAAAATCCCCCCACATAAAAAAATGGTGGGTAACATGTAGCACGTGGTGGACGTGATAAACAGCCACTGGGGGCAGCTGACCGTGTGTTTATGTGAATGAGGAAGATAAGCAAAGTGTTTTCATCCTAGTTCTCAAGAAGCTCCCTCCTCATTCCTACCTATGTCACCCTAGAAACCGACGTGACCGAGTCTGAGAAATAATTGGAAAATCATGACGCCGCCTGAGAGTGAGGACGAGACTCTCCTTTGGGGTTAACAAAAGCAACAGAACATCCACAGACACATAAAGGGAGTTTCCTTTTGTTTTTGTTTCTTTTTTCGGAGGGGGGTGTTATTTTGGATAATAAAAAATATTTAAAAGTTTCTTGTACTGCACACAAGGTAATATTTTGTCTTCTGGAAATGTCTGGGTCACTTCCTGGTGTAACGAGCTTTCAGTTCCTGTCTAGTCAGCAGTTGAAGCTACGGTTTTGACATCTAAAATGTATCAGAGGGGAGAAAAAAACGATTCTCCATCTGGATGGCTATTTTTAATTTGTATAGGTGGAGGGATATTGTTGTAGGTTTTGTAGTGTTGCAGACTGTGAAACTGCTGCATTTCCTCTTCCTGTATCATGTCAGGGGAAAGAAGCTAAATACAGAACTGCTTAAAGCAGTGTTTCCCAATCCGGTCCTCGGGGATGCACAGATAGTCCACGTTTTTGCTCCCTCCCGGGAGCTGGGAGGGAGCAAAAATGTGGACTGTCTGGAAGGGAGCAAAAACATACACTGGCTGTGGGTCCCCCCTGACCAGATTGGGAAACGCTGGCTTAAAGAAATAACAACCAGCTGGTATGTCCAGCTCCTGGTGTCCTGTCCCCCCAGCCTGAGAGGTGTCACTCGCTTGGTCACAGCTGGGACAGAGGTGCCCGCTAGGTTTTGTCCTCAGAGCAGCAGATAGGGACGGAATCCCGCTGCGGTGAATCCACACTACCGCTGGGACACCGCCAAAGTCGGAGATGGTCCGTTAAATGATTTGTCAAATGTGTCCTGTCCTGGCAGGATGGACGAGTGCTGATTTCCGCCCAGTGCATCTACAAAAGACAGACCGTGGATAGTTTCCTGAATTTAATTCCTCAAAAATCAAATAAACGTCATCCTTAGGAAGGTTGCCAGGTGTTTCAAGAAGTACTCAGGTGATTTGACTTCATGTGCTTGGCTGGCACAAAGCGAAAGAGGATTTGGATATTTAGGTCTGAACCTTTTTTTAGAAAAGATAAGTCTTTATTCACCAGTGCTTAGTCTCGAAGGTATGATAGATGATCATGTCCCACTCTAATAAATTGGACAGATTTAAAAAGAAAAAAGCTGTTACTCATTGGACACATTATCATCGGATGACACCATTATGCCGAAACTGATATGTGACACCAGCATCGCCAAGAGGAAAGCATGAACGACTTCTTTAGTCTTTTTTTTGGGAAGACGAGAGTCCCGTTGATTTTCCCACCAATTGTTAAAGTGGCTGCGTGTCTGTGTCAGAAGCACAATGGTGGTCCTGTTCATTGTGACCGAGGGGGGGGGGGGCTCAGGTGATGAGGGTTTCGTTCGTGGCTGTTTGAACACTGGTTCTCAGTTTCTGCTCGGTGTATCAGAACATGGCTCATTATCTCTTAGGCCTAGTGATGAGGGCCCAGCCTTCTTCCTCCCCATGGAGCCAAATTCATGCAAATGCTAGAGCAGGTCTATAGTCAGGTGATCCTGGTTTCCCAAGGAATCTATAAATGGAAGTATTGACTGGCTATCAGTGGCATCTGGCTGGCCGTTCTGTAATCTCCTCAGTCGGTTGACCGTGAGACCGTCCCTGGCCAGTCTGAAACCCAAGAGTGGAGCAGTTCTGAATGCTGTCAATGGCTCATTCAGGGTGTAATCCACACCAGACCATAGCCACCTGAACGGCGGAAGGAAAGCCGTGGTGGTTTTGGTGGCCTGGTGGGCGAGATGGTTGCCTCTGTGAACGTCCTTGAGATCTTTGAATGGGAAGAAACCCTGAACATAATCGCTTAGCTTCATTCATCAGTCTCAGATTCCAGGAGCTGGATCTTCAAAGGGGTTTCGCTTCTCAGACATTTTGAAGTTTCTGTCCCAGACCGTTTCCCCCGGGAAAACGAAAGTGCCCACCGAGCAATCTGACAGTGTCAGGAAGCTGACAATTACAGACCTCACCCATTTCCTGTTCTGGGGCCGCGTGGCCGGTGCCACGGAGAACATGTGCATCGCTGACTCTTACCATGCCAGAGTCCAAAGTTGCTTACAGACGGCACTTATGGGACTGACAGACAGACAGGGGAGGGTTCTGTCTGGTGCGTATTGTATCAGAATATTATCAGCCTGTAGTTGGGATATTTCAAAGGAGCAACATGGGTTTAATGCGCAATTTGGTAACCAGTGTCAGATATCAGTTTCGGCGTAATGGTGTCATCCGATGATAATGTGTCCAATGGGTAAATTTCGTGCTTTCTGACAAGGGCCCAAGTCACCTGACCTCAGAATTCCCCCGGTTTGGAGCGCAGACCTGTCTTCAGTCAGTCTCGATTATCACGAGACGCCTTGTACGCTGATTTCCAGTGGACCCGAGATCGTTATTAATTAAGCTTTGATTGAGCTGTTGGTTTATCCCCTGCCGGGTGAAGTATTTTCCAACCGTATCAAGAGATGAGGTAGAACCAAACCTTGGATATCCCGCCATTGTCTCCACATGATCTGTCCAGACAATTCCATGGAGAATCCAGGGGTGCTTCATACGTGACCGAGGAACGGTCCAGTTCTCTTTCATAAACACACACTGCGTTTCCCCCTCCCTGACTCTGTCTAGTTCACAGCAATAAAGACCCACTTGGCCAGTTCAAGGTGCCTGTCAGCCTCTATTCTTGGCCACGCATGGATGATGTCATCCTCCATGGATGATGAGCCGCTTAGCCCCGCTGAGCATGCGAAAGGGACGCACTGCCTTCTGAGGCATTAAAGCAGCCAATACGAGGGCTTTTAAAGTATGATTCAGCAGAATCACCAGGAGAGCGTGTGCAGTTGCTCTGCTTTCCTACTGCAGTTAGGTCATCTTCCCCAGTGAGGCCTTCCCTTGGCTGGGTGAGCCCGTTTCTGTGGCGTGCATCTACCCAGGA